TATATATATATATATATATATATATATATATATATATATATATATATATAAATGTTTACCAGGTGCCAACGAAGAGTTTAAGTGGTTTATCCCAATGTGGTGTGAGTGTATCTTCATCATCAGTTTCATGTATAATATCTTCTTCTATATTTCCTGAATGTAGTAAAGTTTTTCTTGAGTCTATATATTGTGTATCTGTTTTCTTAGCTGCTGCTGCTGCTGAGTATAAACTATCTCTTCTGCTGCTGCTGCTGCTGCTGCTGCTGCTGCTGCTCCGTATTATATATGGGGCAGGCAGCTCCACGCTGCAGCAATCTCTAAATATAGAATAAGGAGAACCACAAACCACAAACCCGCAGCCCTCAGCAGAAAGACAATCAAACCCTAAACCTACACAAGGAGTAACAACACGGCATTCCCACCGCAGCGCTATTTCTTCTTCGTTTCCTTCTTGTCTCCTCTCTGTTTCTTCTGTCTCCTGCTGCTGCTGCTGCTGCTGCTGCTGCTGCTGCTGCTGTTCGGCTTTATAGTCTATATTCGGGGTTGGGGGGCCCCCAGAGGCCCCCGTTCTACTTACTACACTAAACAGAGGAAGCACTGATAGGGGCCCCGTCTCATCGTGAAGGGGGTGGCAGCATTTTCTGCGCTGCTGCTGCAGCTGTATCTGCTGCTGCTGCTGCTGCTGCTGCTGCTGCTGCTGTTGCTGCTGAGAGGAGAACCCCTCTGAAGGTGAGACAGAGTATGTCTCTATTTCGGTGTCGCTGTGCTCCTGCATCTCCTCCTCTTCATCTTTCTCTCCTAGCAGCAACTCCTGCTGCTGCTGCTGCTGCTGCTGCTGCTGCTGCTGCTGCTGCATGCGGTGCTGAAGGTCAGCCCCGGAGACGCAGCGACCATCCCCCTCATACTCTTCTTCTTCTTTTTCTTCTTCCTCGTACTTTGTCTCTTCTTCTTCTTTTTTTTCTTCTTTTTCTTTTTCTTTTTTTTCTTTTTTTTCTTTTTTTTCTTTTTCTTGTTTCAGCTGCCGAATGTCTGTGGGGGCCGCTCCAGCTCGTGTTGCTGCAGCCTGCAGCAAGCAGGGGCTTGTGGCATCCTCTGCTTCACCATAAGTAGACTCAAACCACCATGTGCTGCTGCTGCTGCTGCTCCTGCTGCTGCTGCTGCTGCTGCTGCTGCTGTTGCTGCTGAGAGGGGAGCGCTGCGCAGCAGCAACCTTCTGCTGCGACTCAACGCCAGGAGGGGGGGGAGACAAAGGGCAGCCGCTTTCTGCTGCAGTTTTCTTCTTTGGGTGTGGGGTGTATGCTGACATGGTGGCAGCAGCTGCAGCAGCAGCAACAGCAGGAGCAGCAGCAGCAGCAGCAGCAGCAGCAGATCCGTCCGCTGCCGCTGCTCTGCCGCTGTGCATGTGCGCAGCAGCAGCAGCAGCAGCAGCAGCCGCAACAGCAGCAGCAGCAGCAGCCACGCCACCCCAGGCTGCCTCTTAACCCCCTCTCTCTTGATGAAGAAGCAACCCAGCAGCAGGCGGTCACAGCGCGGTGAGTTGAGGTGTATGTACACCGTACCAGTGGCTGTGCCGCAGGAGTTGCTTTCTTCTGGGGCTGGGAGAGTAAGGCCTAAACCCTAAACCCTAAACCCTAAACCCTAAACAGCAAGAAGAAGAAAGAAGCTTTCATCGTACAGTGGAGGGAGTTAGAGTCTGAGGCTATACAAGCCGAGGAAAGAAGCAGCAGCAGGCGCAGCACAAATCTATGACTTTGCATTGAGTTGATGCTGCCAAATAAACTGCTGCTTTTGCTATTGGTGCTGCTTCTACGTTGCTGCTGCTGCTGCTGCTGCTGCTGCTGTAGCTGCTGCAGCTGCTGCAGCTGGTCCTCCTGTGCCTCGAGCCGTGTACGGCGGATGAGGGGGGCCTTCTATAGGGTTCTAGGGTTTAACAAGCCAATAAATATCTTTTTTAAAACTTAATAAAACAGAAAAAATAAATAAAAAACACGAGAAAACATAATAAACCCTCAGGCGGGGAACACCGGCTTCGCCTGTCTGTGGCAGCCTCAGCGACCAGTGTATAACCATCGAGGTAGAGAAGAGGCAAAATGTTTCTATAAAACCCCCCAAATGAAATTAATAATTAAATATAATTAAAAAATGAATTTGTTTAGCTTTTTTTATCAACTCATTTAGAAGGAAGAACCCCTGCTGCTGCGGCTAGCCCTGCCACACGCAGCATCTCTCTGGTTTTCAGGTGTATGTACAGCTGCTCGTTTTGTTTTCTTCTTCTTTCGGCAGTCTTCTTGGCTCATAAAGAGCCCTCTTCTCCCCTCACTTCATTTAAACTCTCAATACGATAACCCAGGCACCCTAAGCAGCTGCTACAAGCCGCACACCATACACACCGAGACAGCTTGAGACAGATAAGCCCTAAACCCTAAACCCTAAACCCTAAACCCTAAACCCTCAAACAGAAACCCTCATACAGGCCCTCTTCCCGGCGTCATAAGAGAGCTCGTGGCCCTCCCAGCCCATACGCAGAGAGGAGAGTAATCAACACCCCGAAGAAGAAAGGGTTTAGGGTTTAGGGTTTAGGGTAATCCAACCAAAAGCAGGGCTCTACGGCTCTAGTGACACACGGACCTGTACCTATATATATATATATATATATATATATATATATATATATATATATATATATATATATATATATATA